TCGAATGTGCATTATGGAATTACGTCAAATTTATTTAAGGGAAATTTTTAAATTTAGAAATTAGGAATAGAAATATAGTTTATTTAGATGAAACATGGTTCGACACTCATGAAGTTGTTCAACGTAGTTGTGTTTTAAATGCACCATGCTCGAGGGGGAAACGAGTCATAATTTTACATAACGGAAATGAAAATGGCTTTGCTACTTTCAGCAAAAAATATCAATAAAGCTCTGCTGGATTATCATGAAGATATAAATGCAACAGTTTTTGAGAAATGGTTTGCTGAACAACTTTTACCGAATATTTCACCTAATTCAGTCATTGCAATGGACAATGCGCCACATCATTTCTGGCAAATTCACATGAAGCCAAATAGTGGTTCTAAGAAATCAGATATAATAAAGTATTTAAAAGATAATAACATTGATATTACTGCTTCCGTAAAAACAAAACCACAATTGCTAAAAAATTGTTAAAAGTAAGAATATTCCAATATAGTATTATTATCTTTCTTATTTTTCATTATTGGCAATCCGAGAGTCATCAAATTAATGCATTGTTAACATTTTATTAGTTCGTATTCATTTATTTCTTTTAAAAAATTTATGTTTCTAAATTATTTTATAGTTTTGTTTTATTTGAAAATATTTTTTTTCCTTTATGGTTGGTGCTTTAAAATTTCGTTTTTCAAAAAAAAAAAAAAAAAAAAGAATGAAGTACAGTTCAAGTAGGACTACAATTAAGTGCATCTTTATAAAAATAATAAATTTATAAAATGAGGTAACTACGCCTATGGCAGATCAAACAAAATTGTCGGTATGGGTTCGGAACGAGTTTTTATATTTTGCAATTGATAATGCCCAATTAATAATTTAATTTTAATAATAAAAACAGTACGCCCATGTGCGCGGTCCCTTTGTAGTCGGCACTAGTCGGTCATTATGCCGTGTTGGATTGTGTCTAGAAAGACTATACCTCGTTAATTATTTAATAATTATTAAATAAACCATAAAAAATTTATAAATATAAAAGTAATCTGGGGAGACGCACCGGGTAGAATTCTCTTTGTAGGAGGCTATCCTAGTAGGAATTCATAGCAACGATTTCAGATTGCGGGGACTCTGATTTCGATTGAGAAATAATGAATGGTGGTTCGAACTAATAGTTTGAACTGAGGTAGTGCATCGGTAGAATAAATTTGGATACCTTTGAGCATTCCAAACAAAATGGTTGCCCGATAAAGATGACACACAAACCTCAATTTTACATTGACACTAAAGATAAAACTATTATTAAAATGTGTTTTTGTTCAAATTCATCCTCAAAGCACTAAGTTACCTACCGTTATTTAAATTAATTATATACAAAAACAACATATTAGTGAAGAAAGGTTTGTATGTCAACTGTTAATCAGGCAACCATTTAGACAGGTTGTTGAAATGCCAAATTTCACACAAATATTCATAAAATCATAAATGCCAACACAAGAAACAAAGTATACCCTCAAAACAAATTAAAACCTTGGATCAATGAACACATTTTTAAATTTAATTTAATTTAAGAAAAATATCTGTAAAAATATAAAATAACCAAAAGACATCGACAACGCATTGACAACACAAGAAGAGAGTATGAAGAATATATCGCTCTAGTAGTAATAATCCCAAGAAACTATTCAAACACCTTCTCTCCCCCAAAGAATAACTTCCTTTTTTAAAAAATACGAAAGAATTTTATGTAACAATGATCAAAAATCCGCCGTACTCTGGCCAACATTGTTGAAAAAGTGTTTTATTAGAACATGTAGCCTCCCAATTAGTCGCATTAGTCTTAGAACAGTAACCTCCTTATGTATTGTTGACTTCTCATCTTCCAATTTCAAACAATCCAATCAAATTGCTCACCTGGAATTGACAATATATTAGCAGTGTTTTTTTATAAGAATGCGCATCTTATTTGGCGTTTCCCTATCCTTTAAATCACCATCCTTTACATCTTTATATAACTGTTACCAACAACGAACAACTACCAGACTAATTTTGTTTACAAAAATCGAATTGTAAACATTCACGGTGTTATCCACGTAATTGTAAAATTATTGAGAGAGTATGGGAGAGTCTTGTTACAAGGATTGTTTACGGTTACATTTCGGTATTGACTTAACATATTGCTCTAAAACGCACAAAAGGTTTTTAAAATTACATTATGGAAGTATACTTGCATTCTTAATGCCAGTTATTATCAGTTTAGGTTATTATTCCTGTTGCAACGATCATAGTTGTTAAAGGTGTTTTCCAGGAAAGTACGCAAATAATTTTGAAGTGTGATAGCAGTGTAAAGAAATCGCTGTATACGTAAATACTGATTCATTCATAAAACGCATGCTCGCTCCTCACATAAACAAACTCGCATATACCATCCCCACTCAACTTAGCAGCCGTCTCCTTCTTTCTAATGCGGGAGCCGATGCAGCTCTGTCTGCATTATATTAAACACAATCTGTTACAAAAGACCTTGAAGTTATTTCAAACTGATGTGATATCTCTTCATATAGAGATAAATTTATTAAAAGAACACGTGACATATTTATGAAGTATGGGCATATTATATAAGATACCCCTACTGTATAATTTAAGTATATTTACAAGCCACTGAAAAACTTGGTCTTCTCGGTTAGTTTTGGTACTTGATTAATTCTTTATTTTCAAATTAATATTAATCCCTTATGCAGTATAGGTACACACTGGCAACCAAATCAAATATTAGTATAATTATTCGGTTTATCGATCGAATCTAACCTAAGGCTTTATTTCCATGGTCCCTAGTTTCTAATACGGTACATATATAATAATATTGTAATCGGTGTGTACTAGCATTAGAAAAAATAGAAATAAAGAAGAAGAAAAATGTATTTTATTGCCCAAGAGAATATAAATATTGCTAAATATTAATGAAACTACAAGTAAACTATAAAATAAAATACAATACAATACTTAAAAAATTAAACAAAAAAATAATAAAAATTACAAAAATTAAAATCAAACATTACGATAAGGATTTAGATTTTTTTAAATAGAGCTACGGAAACTTAAATATCGCTCACATAGTAAAGTAAGACCGACATTGTTAAAGTTCTTCTTCTTTGCCAACCAACATCCAGTCAAAAATTTTCATTGTAGATACGTTTCAGTTTGTTATACGACATTATTAATACTTGCTCAGGATTACCTTACATTACGTTTTTAAAAACACTGCAAGTGACAAATAATATAAGTTAGTTAACTACATTATAAATATTTATTTTTAAAAACTGCCTACTGTCTACAAGTTATACTTATAAAAATATAAAATATTATGCATATTAATTTTGATGTTACAAATTATTATAATACGTATAAATAAAGAAGAGAGAAGTGAGAAAATCGGTTGAAAACCAAAAAACTGACATGCAATTTTGTAAATATGAAAATATGTATCTAATCTCCAATTCCCCCTGGGAAATTATGAAAATACACCCCCACATGCCTAAAGTGATAACAAACCAAAGAAAATTTGAAAAAGCTACGATTTAAAGAAAAGAAAAATGAATGCATCGACCAGGATTCGAACCTGAAATTTTCCGATTAGTCATCAGCGCCTCTACCAGTTGGGCCATCGAAGCACATGGCTGCGACAATCGAATTTGTAGTTTTGAAGTCTATCAAATTTCGATTCTCTTCGGCACACATATTATTCCAGCTCTATCAATTCTCCTTGTGTGACATCGTATAGAAGGACGCCAATATCTGTTTGTATTATATATTTCTAAACTCATTAGTTAATTCACCAGTGTTAATTTTTCGAGTACGGTAAGTCGTAAACGTGAAACGCGTTTATTAATTATTCTAGTACAATTAGAGACTAACATCTTCTTAGGGTGCTTCATTTTCAGGCAATATTTTTTCTCTCTCTGTGCTACCTGAAAATCTGAAACTTTATAAAAAATAAAAAATTATGCCGCCGGGTAAAAGGTTCTAAATGCAATAGCGACTTAGCTCATTCAAAAATTCGATTTCCTATTTAAATAACAGGAAATTTTTTTTTGTTTTAATTTAATTTTTCGATACTAAAATTTTTTTTAAAAACCTTTTATTTTTTATGCCAGTGGCGCACAAGGGGGGATTTCAAAAATTAGAGTTTACATAAAAAAATGGCTTGTATGGTATCAAATGAAAGGTAATTGAGTCTAGAGTTGAATAAAATACATTTTATTTTTTTAAGCCAGTGGCACACAAGGGGGGATTTCAAAAATTAGAGTTTACATCAAAAAAATGCATTTTATTTTTTTAAGCCAGTGGCGCAAGGAAGGGGATTTCAAAAATTAGAGTTTATATCAAAAAATGGCTTGTGTGGTATCAAATGAAAGGTAATTGAGTCTGGAGTTGAATGAAATACATTTTTTTTCAAGTCAGTGACGCATAAGAAAGGGGATTTCAAAAATTAGAGTTTAAATCAAATCATGGCTTGTGTGGTATAGAATGAAAGGTAATTGAGTCTGAAGTTGAATAAAATACATTTTTTTTAAGTCAATGGCGCACAAGGGGGATTTCAGAAATTATAATTTAAATTAAATCATGGCTTTTTTTGATATCAGTATTATCTTTTATTTTAAATAATTTGTTTCAGAAACCAAAATGTCCGATGCTAAGAGAAAACCCTCTGGGAGCGAATTTAAAAAGCGAATATTGAACCAGCAAACACAGCTTCAAAAACAGTCAGATGCGCTGCAGAACTTCTTGAAAGAAGGTAGTTTCAACGCTCCCACAACCGACCAACAGTTGAACAATGCCCAGCAACTAGATACTGACTTTCCCCCTTTGGACGCAACCGTCAGCATTACTGTTCTTGGTAAGTCATCTCAAATGAGTTTGGCGAGTAGTGATGCAGTTCCGTGCAGTTCCAAAAATCAAAATTCGCAAGTTGTGCAAACCTCAGAGAGACATTTAGGAAAGGCTACCGTCCAAAGTATCTCTTCTGACCCAGGATTATGGCCCGAAATCACGCGTGCAGCAGATAGAGTTTTTTTAGTTAAACGTGGTCCAGCTGCACCTTTGTATAATTTTGATTTTCCTTTTGATGATCAGCATAGAAGATTCTCACTAAAACATTACAAGAAAAGGCTTAGAAATGGAGATGAGGTTTTAAGAGAATGGATGGTATATTCCGTATTTAAAAACGCTTTGTACTGTTTTCCATGTCGACTTTTTGCTGCACCATCTAGCTTGAGCGCTCTTGGCAATCGGGGATTTAAAGACTGGAAGCATTTAGGGGACTCTTCAGCACATCATGAAAATGCTAAAACTCATATAGATTGTTTGAAATCATGGCTTGAATTGAAGCAAAGATCGAAAATAGGTGAAACAATAGATGCAGTTTCTTAGAGACGCATTGATTCTGAGATAAATCACTGGTCTGAAGTTCTTTTACGCATTATATCAGTCGTTAAGTGCTAGGTGAAAGCTCTCTAGCTTTTCGAGGAACAAACGATAAACTGTATGAACAGAATAATGAAAACTTTTTAAAGTTCGCAGAGTCCTCATTAGAGAAGAAATCAGAGCTACATATCTAGGGAAAACTATACAAAATGAAATAATTGAATTATTGCATGACAACATAAAGCACGACATCATTGAGCAAGTTCAAAAGGCCAAGTATTATTCCGTGATTCTTGACTGTACTCCCGATGCAAGTAAAGTAGAGCACATGACATTTGTAGTAAGATTTGTCTCCATACAGGAGTCAGAGTCTGAAGTTCAAGTTAATAACAACGAACATTTTTTGGGTTTTCTACCCATTGAGAGATCAACAGCTAAAGAATTGTCGGAGGTTTTACTAGAAGAGCTAGAGAAAAATGGGCTTAAAGTAGAAAACATGCGCAGAATTAAAGTCACAGGGCTTTACTAAAAGAACATCCATTATTGAACAAAGGGTTTGCTACAGGACATTTTTTTAGCAAAAATGAGTTACAAATCATTTTAAAGAGAGTTCAGAAGAAATTTTAAAGCATTCACGATAAGATATTTCAGTAAAAGGTGCTATCTCTACCTCAGAAATACTTTAAGTATCACTTGCTGGGGTTTCAACTTTACAAAAAAAGCTCTTGGTTGGTTATAATGTTTGTAAGAAACCATCTTATCTGCTTTTAAATGTAGGGTGGACAAAGCTGTAATTAATTTAATGATTGTAAATGATAATTGCAGAAAAGTATTCTCAAATGTTACCATTAGCTTTTAATTTCAGTTAAGGTTCAGTTCCTTTGCTCTTCATCATTTTTTTTGTGAAAATTGTGTTAGTAAACAGCAAGTCTTCACCTGTATATAGGCATGCTAAAATTTTAAACTATTTCAGGGTATAAACAAAATATGGTCCGAGTTCGACTGGAGGCCGTACCCTAACGTAAAAAGTAATTTATTTAAAATTTTATGGAAATCATTACAAGATTTTTCCTTGTTGTTTTGTAGCTTATCTTTCAAAAAATAACACTATCGATATAATAAAAACTCAACTGGAAAATATTCCAAATATAAAAATATAAACTTCACTAAATATTAAGAAAATTTTATTTTTAAAAAACTAATGTGCAAACCGCAGCAGAATGTTTTCTATCACCTCGATTTTTACCTCGGACAAAAATTAAAATAATTTTAAATAATATTTATTATATTCAGATTAGTAAGTGGAATCGAGGGTTAGTTTCGTAAAGCGTTAATTTTACTGATTTTTTTAAGTTACTTTCTATAATGTCATGAAGAACACTGTTTAAGTCTAGTTCTAACACTGTTTTAGTCGGATGCAGTAACTCCAGAAAATATCTTGCCATACGTTTTCTACACTACAAAAGACAAGGCAGAGAAGTCTGCTTAGTTGGAGAGCACGTTTAGTTTAAGTTAATAATTTGGATAATTATAACAAATAATAAGCATTTAAAAAACATTACTTATTACAAAAATATGTTGTTAAATATAATTGTGCCAAAACTATTGGCACGTACATTAATTTAGCATCCACATCGACCCCCGGCCGAATCAAAACACCCTGTAGAATCAACAACGGTTAAATCAGCCACATCTGTGATTAGCAAACAGAAACAGTGAGCTAACTCGACTAATGACAAATATCGCCGTAGGGGGCGCACTCTTAATCAAAGTGTGTATTCCCTTTTCCTATCCTACTCTTGCGGTCTACGGGTCTCTCTCGCACTCATTATGGTGTGATCGCCGCGGGCTACATTGATACGCTGGCGGTTTATTAAAAAAATCTCATTAAAAAAGTTTTGTGAACAGTTTAATTTCAGACATTGATGGTTGCCAAATTGGATTTTCGGAGTTTACATAAAATCATGAAAGAGGAAAAAACGTCGGAAAAAATATGGGCCGTGATTTAACCAAAGTACAAATGTAACTACTGCATACCCGTATCGAGTAATAAAAGTGCCTACAGTTACAGTAGCTTTCTAGACGATCATTCTCCTTCATAATCAAAATTATTACTATTAGGGCTTAAAATCTAATACCCCGTCAGTTTTATTTCAACCACAGTAATTATTTAATCCACCAATGTGTTCCAAATGAACAATAGATCAGTTCTTTTTATTGAGCCAACCATCACTGCATTATTTAAAGACCAAGAGGCACTTTATAGGTATCAATTTTTCTTGCTTGCAAGTAAAATTGCTGCAATTCGAATTGCACATCTGCTCACTAACGTCCTTTCAAATATCTGTTATAACTTCTTCTTGCAATTGCAAAAAATAGCAGCTGCAATTCTGGAGAAAAAATGGTTGAAATGGCGCTGCCAATCTGACTGGAATAGGAACAAATGAATCAATTATCAATGTTGAATATTTCATTTATACAGGGTGGCCAGACGAAAACGAAACAGAGCCATTACCTGGAAACGCTCAGACCCGTCATTTTTGGACTAAAGGGGGACACCTGCCTATCATATTGTTAACATACATCATACTCTCCCATTCTGTCATTCTAATCAATACAATTTAAATAGGAAAAGTACTAAGTATGACACATCATTGACAATGTAATTTTATGGAAAATTGTTATTTGCGTTACTTTTCATTTTAGCGCCCTCTAGCAGGATGAAAACTGTTACGTATTGTGAGGTGTTACACTTCATTTAAAAGTTAATTTGATTAGTAATTTAATCCATGCATAGAATAAATTTGCTATTTTGGTTGATTACAATTATAGTTAAATTGATAATCCTAACATAAATGGCAACAGTCGTATGTTTGTTTAAGTTATGTTTCATAAAATGATGTTTTCGTACGTTATGAATTAAATTACTAATAACATTAACTTTCAAATAAAATGTCACATTTTTATCCCGCTAGAGGGCGCTAACATCAAAAGCAACAAAATCCTTGTTTAAATTATATTGGTTAGAGTGTCGGCGTAGAGGGCAACGACGTATGACATTTAAAAAATTGACGAGCGTTTGTCTAAAATGTTGACGCAGTTCCCGATAATGGCTCTGTTTCATTTTCGTCTGGCCACCCTGTATATTGAATGGTATGTTTTCCCTAATTTATTTGGTATATTGGCGAACTTTGTACTTTTGATACATTGGATTACAAATTATTATTTAATAAAATGAAATATTTTGGTTTAACTAAAACCGCACGATGACTGTTATTTTGAAATGTAGTTGATTTTGACTGCCCTTGGATGAATCCTCTATGAATATTCTGGACTACCCGAGCCGATGAACTTCCAACTAGAGCTTATGGTGTTAGCTATTTACCTGTTCAATTAGCATTCCTTTGACTTGATACCACATGTGGATTTTGGACCAATTGTAGTTTTATTAGCTCCATTCATGGCTAGGAGGTCTGCTTTCTCGTTTTTCGCCATTCCCTCATGTCCCGACTCCAATTGAAGAGTGATCTTAATCTTGATCTTGTTATGTTCTGAGAACCTGTTGGCAGTTCAATAATAATTTGGATTGCTCATCTACCATTATATGAGGTTCAAGGGCTGTCTGTCGTTATAAAGACCATTCTTATTTCTAGGAGGTCATGTATCATTACCTGGGTTGCTGTTACGTCAGCCTGGAAGAGTGTTGCCAGTGGTCACAGGCAGTGCCGGTTTAACTTAACTTCGGGCTCTGGGCGTTGGAGATTTAGTGGCCCCCTAGAAACACAAAACAAAATAAAAAAAAAAACACAAAAAACCTATTCCAAAAAAATTCATGACAAAAATTATACAGGGTGAGGCACCGAAAACGAAACAGATCGCATATCTTGAAGGCACATTTTTTTGGAGAAAATGCAAAAAGAGGTCGATTTTTATTTCAAAGGGGACATCTTTCAATCATATCCTGAACAATCCTACATCCCTCCCCACCCCTCTGTCATTATTACCAATGAAATTGAAATAGGGAAAGTACTAAGTGTGATACATCATTGAAAAGGTAATTTTATAAGGAATTTGACTGTGTGACATGTGACAGTTCAAATAAGTGTATTGTCATGTGAAAGCCAAATTTAAAATGTTAATGCATAATTACCTTTATTTTCGTAAAATAAAAATAAAGGTTTTTATTTCCATAACTACCAGGTCTGTTTTTTAGTTTAGCGTCATTGATACTTCAAGTCTATTAGCGAGTAAAACATAAAAATGGTTTATTCTATTCAGGAGAGAGTAGAAATTGTTGAATGTTATTTAAAAAATAACGAATGTGCTAACACTGCATGTACAATTTCCAATGAGCGACACCCAAACCAAAATTTCGACAAACAGGATCTGTTCAAAATAAAAAACGGCAGATTCAAAATCCAGTAAGCCGTAGAGGTAGCCGTTTTAGGACAAGTTGTTACAGAGCCAACTCTTAGTACAAGAAAGTTTGCAGAATTATCTGGAGTAAGTGCCCGTACCGTCAGGAGAATTTTGAAAGCCAACAAATTCCATCCCTATAAAATTCATTTAGTTCAGGAACTTAACGAAGACGATTTTGATCGCCTCTTGCAATTTTGTGAAATCATGAGCGAGCATGCTATACAAGATCCACATATTCTTTACAACATTTGTTTTTCAGATGAATGCAGTTTATTTGTTAACGGGACTGTTAATCGATATAATTGTCGATTAGTGGTACCGCGAGACGAGAGATTCTCGTCTCTCGTCTCGTCTTGTCTTGTCTCGTCTCGAACGAGACGAGAGAGACATTTTCTCTCGAAAAAAGATTCGAGACGAGACGAGAGAGTATCATCTCTCGACGAGAATTTCTCGTTTCTCTCGAACTCTCTCGGGCTCTCTTTGCTTATTTGAAATTTTCAATAGCTTATCGTAACTTAAAATTTTAACATATTAGATTTCGAGATAGTCGAAAAGTTAACTATAACACACCTATTCTATAAATATTAAATGGTAACAAATGATACTTGTGTTATTAGGATTTTATAAATAGTGATTTATAGGAAAAAGTATCCATTCTGCTTTGGTGAGGTTACTTTTGAAGATAAGTTGAAAATTTTCGGAAAACTGTCAAAGAAAATGTAATACACACGAATGTATTATATACAGTGGGGACGAAAATTGTACCCTCCTCTATTTTAACTTCTAAATGAAAAAATATAACAAAACAAAAACGAGGTAAAACTTTTTGTTATAACGAGATGCACTTTACTTGAGACACGTAAGATAGAGGGAGTTACTAGCTTTAAATTAAATTAAACAGATTTGGGTTTTTATAATTTTACAGAAATTAAATTAAATAAATTCATAAAGTAGGTTAAATTCTTTTTTTTATTAACCGCTTCAACCTAAAAGGATTATTACCGGAGGTATATTACCTTATAAATGCTGTTTTTTACAATAGTATACAATGGATAATTAAAATTTTTGCTTGTACAGAGTAAAGTCAGTATCTTTTATAATTTTAAGCAATTTTTTACTGTTAGAGGGAACACTGCACAAATGACAATTTTTTGTAGCTGGTACTTTGTTCTTATACAGACATGTTCTGGGCCTTTACTAATAAGTTACATTCTTGATAACTCGCGTATTAACATTTATTTTTTATTATTAATGAAACGCTTCTTGTATTTATTAAAATAAATAAATTAAGAATATCAAAGGTGATTTAAAAACCACTTGACGTATTACATTTTTCATAACTTCTTAGCAAAAAAAACTTATTAAAAAATTATCTTCTAACATTATCTAACATTTCTTGGATTATTGCGGTACACGAGGATTATCAAGAATGTAATTTTTGTAAAAACAAAACAAAATAACAAAATTAAAACTGTTTGCTTGGAAGTAAACATAATCAAAATGTCTTTCAAATGAGGTATTACATGACTTTACTTTCCATTAGAAAATTTAAAGATAGTAACGCCCTCTATTTTACGTCTCAAGTAAAGTGCATTTCATTACAACAAAAATATCATGTTTCTCTAATTTCACATCTCTTGTTTTATGTCTCTATCTTCATGCATTTTGAAGACATACTACAAAATGCTTGCTTTTGACATCGCAGGATTGCATTAGAAAAAATCTAACTTCCAATTTAACCTCTTCTTCTCTCCCCGACAAAGTATTTTCGTTAGTAGTTAACGCCTAATCTGGGCCACTTATTACTTCATATTTCAATTGTAAAACGACTGTGACAGACGGATAGACAGAGGGACATAAGTATTTGCTATTGCCAAATTTGGGTACTAATTAAGGATGTGCACGATGTATCGATGTTTAAAAAACATCGATTTTTAGGTTTCGATTATCGATGTTCAACATCGATGTTTTTTAATCCGATGTTATTTGCTAACATCGATTTTTACATTAACATCGATGATTTTCTTTTTAATGTTTCTTGGTTTTTTGTTAAGCGTCACGTTTAATTTGATGGTTTAAATTTCTTTTTCCTGTTTTTTTTTGCTCTTCAATGAACGCTTTTGGAAAACATCGATGTTTACAGACACATCGATGTTTGAAAAAATTTGCGCATCCCTAGTACGCAAATTACTTGAAAAATTATTTGTTTTTGTCTTACAAATTTTACCGTTTTTTCATGTTTCGTCTTTTTCAAATTTAAATTTGATATTGTTTTATCACGAGAGAAACGAGACGAGACGAGACAAGACGAGAGGAAGGCTCTCTCGATCGAGAGAAGCGCCTTCTCGTCGAGACGAGAGAACAGTTTTCTCTCGCCCTAAGAGACGAGACGAGAGAGGCCACTCTCTCGTCTCGTCTTGTCTCGCGGCATCACTATTGTCGATACTGGTCAGATTCCAATCCAAGAGTATTTCATCAAACGCATACTCAACACCTAGAAAAGTTAAACGTTTGGGCTGGAATATTTGGCAATCGTATTGTTGGTCCATTATTTTTACCAGGTACTTTAACTGGTGATATGTATTTGGAATTACTCGAAAATACCGTTGATCCACTGTTAACAGATATAATAGAAAACGATAACCGATACCTTGAAGATCACCTAATATTTCAACAGGACGGGGCTCCTCCACATTTTGCTGCAGCGGTTCGTCAGTACTTAAATGAAAACTTTCCTAGACATTGGATTGGATGAAGAGGATTTATTGAATGGCCCCCACGATCTCCTGATCTGTCCCCCTTAGATTACTTTTTATGGGGATATCTGAAAAGTAAAATATACGCCACTTAGCTAGGTTCCTTAGAAGAGTTACGTGAACGTATTATTACCGAATGTAGTCAAATAACTCCAGAAATGCTCCAAAACGTCAGACAAAGATTTGAGAATAATTTATATTCATGTATGGAAGTTAATGTACAACATTTTGAGCATTTACTTTGAAGTAATTTGGTTTTTAATTATGGGAGTTGTCCTAAATTTTTCAATTTAATTTTTATGTTCACTTTTCTATTATTTTTTTTATTTTTATTATGAATTGTCTATTAAATGAGTTTTACTTTCAAATGAAGTGTCATTATTTAAAATACGAAAACTTTTCCCGCAAGATGGCGCCAAAATCAAAAGTTACGAAATAAACTGTCACACAGTCAAATTCCATATAAAATTACCTTTTCAATGATGTGTCACACTTAGTACTTTCCCTATTTCAATTTCATTGGCAATAGTGACAGAGGGGTGGGGAGGGATGTAGGATAGTTGAGGATATGATCGAAAGATGTCCCCTTTAAAATAAAAATCGACCTCCTTTTGCAGTTTCTCAAAAAAAAATGTGTCTTTAAGATATGCGATCTGTTTCGTTTTCGGTGCCTCACCCTGTATATATCACTGTTTTCTGGACTTGGCATTACCAAACTGCCATACTATCACAATAAAAGTAAGCTGGTCTTGATGATTTTGATGTTTGGGATAGAGTTTACAATTAAGTATTTGGCTTCTTTAATTTCTAGTAGAAAAGTCTCTGCAAGTTTTGTTTATATCACTTCCAGGAATTCATTTCAAATTTGGTGAGACAGGTAGCAAACTGACCCTTTTCCTCTATTCACATATCGCTGTAAATGCTCAGCTGAAAAGTTGTCAAAATTTAGCCAAACACAAGACAATTTAAGTTATTTCTTTAGTGACAACTGGTTAAATCCTCAATGGATTCACGGAAAGCTAATCCTTGAGGATCAAGTAATTTAATGACAACAATTCTTCTTAGGACCTTTACCCAATAGTCAGCTTCACGTTCTACTTGTTCTTTCAATCCAACGTGTATAAATACTTCAATTTTTTTTTTAAAGTGGTGAATAAGGGGGAGTATTATTATTATTATTATTAGGTTTTACTCTATAAAAGTTGTTCTCGTTTAATCTTCTATAATAAACTTGGTCTTCATCTTGATCAATAATTTTCAGTATTTTCTAGGGCATCACTATTTGTTTTAAAAATCACAGTTCTAATAAAATGATCAGTCTTAAAATCAGACCATTTTGAAGTTGCAGGTATTTCGTTTTCTTTTGGGATAACTATCTCAATCGGTACCTACTACATGATTTGCTGTCTAATGTCTATATTTTCATGTTCATTTATTTGAGTTTTAGTTGCAAGAGTATTCTCGCTTACTTCCGGACGTGTATATTGTATAGTGTGTGAGATTATTTTCAAAAAATAGGTATATTACTCGCGGACTTAATTTATATTTTTTAATTACTATGTGATCTAGGCTCCTCGGGCTCCTCGACGCCCGCCTCAAGCGCTCAGCGGATAAACTGGGGCTGAACAGTAGACTAAGCTACTTTAAATCGTATAATGGCAAATTATTAAAAAACACAAAATGAAAACTTAAATTTAACAAATTTAGCGGTTGAATAGAAAATAACAGTAATGTCGGAACATAATTATAACATTGCTGGCGATTGTCAAATATTTAAAAGTTATCTTGGAAACACTTTATTTCTGGATTTAACTACTGACAAAGAAACATTCGTGCATCCCGTATAAGCCAACGAAGCGAATTCAGCACCCAACGCCTACCAATTTAATTGGTTTATCAAATTAAATAAAGTGACATACATGCAATCCGGTTTGTTGTGGGATTTACCTACTCGGCATGCAGCGGACGTTCTTTGCAGATTTGCCCAATTATAGCATGGCTTTGATGGGTGTTATACCATCAGATATAATATAGTTGGCTCGTCACAATGCATGTCGTAGACCTTATCTCAGGCACTTATCCGGATTTCCCTGTAGATTTGTAACTTTTATTGTGAAACGGTTGATGTAGTATATATGTTATTGTTCTTTTTGTATTTTTAGAATCTAATTTCTGATTCACATAATACATGTGCATTGCAATCTTCAATATTTAGAAGTCACAGTTAAAGTGTCATAAAGGATATTAACAATAGTATTTTATGTACTTAGGCTGGCAAGTGTAATTTACAGATCGAGACATTTTGCAAACTGAAGCCGGTTTGTTTTGATCTGTAATATTCACTGAATAGGATATAACCGATTAAAAATTGGCCGTTTTGGGCAAATAATATGACTAACCGAATGTTATTAAACATAACCTCTATTTCCATTTGTCATTTAATTTTACGATATATTGCATTTTTTGTGGAAAACAAAGTAAACTCTTCATTCAGGTTTAGATGTTTAGGAAAAACTTGCATATTCTAGATATTCATAGTCAGTACAAGAAATTAAGTAAACTTTGCTCCTCTGAAGTATTAATTAATATCTGAGAAGCAAGTTTTTATTCTTTGAATATTTAATTAGATGGATAGCTGTCCTTTGAATGGCAACAATGCAGTGTCTTCTCAAATTATGTAAATTAAGTCATAAATTATGTTTTATTTTAAAATATTCTAGTATCTGGAAGATAAATTAGTTAAGTGTTTGGGGCTGAGGATTGCTTGCAAAGCTGAATTTTTAAGCAATTCTGCATTGATCACGGAAATCTATCCGTACGTCATTGCAACGACGAGTAGCAAAACAAGGACAGACAGGAATAGCCTCAGGGAAAACTTAAAGAAAGTAGTAGACAGAATCAGGTATAACGATAGCAATAAAATAGCAGGCGTGACTATGAAACAAGTATTTATACAAGCACGAGAAAAAGCTTGGAATATGTAGGCAGAAGACAGGATATAGACGTGGTCCAATACAAATATAGAGCGCAAAAGAGAAGATGGGAGGAAGAGGCCTTTTCAGTTCAACGAAAAAGCATTTCTTCTCTTAGAATAATCCAAAAGGAAGGATGAAGATGTTATTATCCTAAAGCCTGAAGAGGGAACGTCACATGAACAACTTATTAAAAATATGAAAGACAAGTGGGAACAGAAATTCAACAAAACAAATGATGGAAACGTACAGATCAAAATAAAAGGGAATGAAGAAAAGAGCAGATCACTATTTAGGGAAACACTCAAACGTTCAAGATTCTAGACAAAGATGAGACAATAATGGAAGAGTGTTAAAGAGATGCTGAAGAAGGAAATGAATACTGAAAGTCCAGTTAACATATCTGAAAAATTTACTATAGAGTACTTGAATACGCTTTATCACAATCAGGGAAGATATGGCCAAGCTAGTTAATGACAGAAGAAGGATAGGAAAGGGATGGAACAGGTGGCAAATCAGAAAAATAGATAACGATACGCAATGCTACAGGTGTCGCAAAGTAGGGAACTGCATCGAAAAAGAAGAAGAAACAAAATGCTATAAATGCGGTGAGCTGGGACAAATTAAAAAAGAATATAAAGGAGTTCAAAAATGTTATCGGTATAAAACTGAGGGACATAAAGCGCCCGGAATATAGGAAAATGCAAGAGGCGCAGAAGAAGGAGAGGAGGATAAGTGTTATAAGTGTGTAGTTATAAAGAATTTAGGAAAATCTAGACAGGGGCAAACAGGCAGTGGATCTGGTGTACATAATAGCAAATGAAAACAATGCAGATATAATGATTATATCAGAACTCAATAAGAAAAAAATGTCAATGGAACATGGATTACTGATGACAAAGTAGATGTTGCCATAAACATAAGAAACTGGGATATAAAAATGTTTAACAAAGGAGCAGGGGAAGGTTTTGTTTGGGTGAAAACACAGTCGGTCATAATATACGGCTGTTATATCTCACCAAATATCAAGTTAGAAGCGATCACGAACTTTAAACTCTTGCTGAGGACGGATATAGAGAAAACAGAGAAAGAAATAGTACCTACAATGAACACCTCTAAAAAATCACGAGATAGAATGTAATCATCAACATATCACATACGAGATCGCAGAGAGAAAGCAAGATACAGGCAACACTCATGTAAGCCAAGGAAGCGTAGTTAATGAAGATACCTAATCTTACTAACATGTCCCAGGAAATAGGTAGGCTACTCCAAAATAAAAATATGCCAATAAGAGCAGAACAAATGATGAAGTTAATAGAAGCAGCATGTGAAAGTTACTGAACAATCGAAATAATGGCAATATGAAGCCTGTTTACTGGCGACAGAGGCAGTTGCGATAAAAAGAAAAGCGTGCATACAAAGGAAAAGAGAAATGATGAGAGAAAACGGTATAGGTAGAGTAGAATAATATTTAAGATAGAAATACTAGTTGCGAAACTGGATGCATGGAAAAAGCTGATACATGAACCGGATGATGACGCTACAAAACAGTGACCCAAAAACTATACAAACCACCGACACATTATGACAGACAAGCAACAGATGGTGATAGCAAAAACCCTATTCCCTGTACATACCTCGATATAGTGGGCTAAAATGCAGGAGAGAAAGAATTGAATGAATTCACGAAAGACGAACTCCTGCCTGCATTATCATTAGGATAAAAAAATAAAAAAAGCCAAATAGGTCACGCTGACTTCTAAGTATACCTGAACAGGTGGACTAAGTCATACATATCAATGCAGGTATTGTGGATTTAACGATACAGCAGAGTATACCTTCTTCGAATGCTATAGGTGGGATACCGGGAGAGATACAACTAAAGAAAGGATAGTTGAACTGAAGTTCGATAATTTAATTCGAAAAATATTAAAAAATCACATAAAAACATTTCAAAAGAAAAATATTTTTAAAGAAACAAAGCTGAAAACCGATAAATTTGTTGCAAATTCTCGACTTGGAGTACCAAAAATCGATTTCAATCAATACACAAATAATCACACAAAACACATTTTAAGAAGCAAATACTTTTAACGAAACAACTACAGCTAAAAACCAATAAACTCCCGGGCCAGATCGCAGAAATAACAAACGAGCGGTTCGCACAAACTCCTAAACAAGGCCATTATTATTATTAGGCTGTTAGAACGAGATAAATGCCGGTTTGCCAGCGTCGTAATGACCGAATTTATCTTGTTAATAAGATCTGACTGGCAACTAACACGATCAGACATCAGGAAGTGTAAGTAAACCGTTCCGGGGTAACCTCATTGCGACCTATTTGTTAACTGTCACCCTTAGTTGAGATAAATAAGGTAGTTATCGCTTCACTCCGAACTTTTCTTCTTGTGCTCGCTCGTGGTTTATTCGATACTTTTTCTTACTGGTCTAATAAGCAGAAATGTACTATGCTAGAATTCGTGTACATATTTCCCAATGCATCCCTTGTTTTACTGTAAAAATTGGCGTTCAACATAAAAATGTTAAGATATCGGATATAATTGATATGTCTTGGGACATGGTCCCTGTTTAATTTGATATGTTATGTTTAAATTAAAAAATAACATCCCTTTGTTTCCTTCGCAACAATTCACATGTTGTTAGATCCTTTTACTCAAAAATATTGTAAATTATTATTAAAAAAGAAAAATTACTTTATTTTGCGATTTTTACATGAATATCAAATTGGAAAATTGATCATTCTGGTTCATAAATTTAAAGTTTGGAAACGATATTTTGTTGGCAGCTTCAAGTTTAGGTTTTATTATGCTTTGTTGTGATTTTAGAGATTAACAAATATTGAACTGTTTAATACGGACATTTAGGATGGTAAGGAAATGTGTAATATACCAACGTAATTGGAATAAGAATGTTACGCGGTCATATCATTGGTAAGGTTATGTTAGCATAGGCGTAGGCCTTTTTACCTATATAGAAAAAAAGGCCTAATAAGCATAAAATATTTGTTTTGGGTTTCAATAGTAATGAAAAAAGAAAAAAAAATTCAAATAAATTTTATTACTTACAAGCTTTTACAGGATCATTTGGAACTTTTTTTAGTGCAGTTCGTAAAAGGTGTGGCTTCAATAATAATCCCACTTGCAAGTTGTTACAAACATGTTATAAAACATAATTATTTTTATTGAAGTAACTCAAATAAAACTGCTTTAGATGGCACTTTTTTTCAAGAGTGGTAACAAAATCTTCAAAAAGACATTAGACGTCTGAGATGTCTACTAATGCCGGATTTTCAACGGATTTCAAAAAAAGGAGAAGGTTCTCAATTTGTCGAATTTTTTTTTATGTATGATCAGCGATAATTCTTTACTACGTTGTCCTATTTCTATGATTCTTGTTTCGATAGAAAGAGAACACTTCAGGGGTGGTTCCATATAAATTTGGTCAAGAACTAATAATGTTGTCCATAACAAAATCATCAAATTCTTCATTTTTTTTTTTTTTAGTATTTTCAGCGATAATTATGTACCACGTTGTCCGATTTCTATGATTCTTTTTTGTTAGAATGGGAATACCTGAGGGGTAGTTCAATATACAATTGGTCAGGATCAGAAGATCTTTAAGAAAATAAAAAAATCAATTTTTAAGGGCATCTGCACGATTTTGAAGTCGGTTTTTTAAAATTACATTTATAATTTGTTACATGCTAAAATATTTTCTCTCGTTGTGGTTTATAAATAATATAACTTACATACAGAGCTGTTTAAGATCATTTTAAAAACGAATCATTTGCATTTGAACAAATGATTTAAATCAAAGATCGATTTTTTAAAAAGAAAGATTTAAATCAAAAATCTTTTTTAGATTTAAATATTTTTTACAATTTAAATCATTTTAGGAAAGATTTAAATCTTTTAAGACCAAAAGTCCATCTTACTTTTTAGCTCTATTCCCACTCTTTTTGCCATCTGGTTCTTGTTCTCTATCTGGCTTGCGAGCCATTTTTAGTCAGTCTGGTCTTGTTTTAATCCCTTAGTCCCTCTATGCCTTATTTGGGTCTTTTACGACTTCAATTTTACCAGTTACAAAAAATATTCGATAAAATAAGTCAACCTTAGAGACCTCTATGAAACGCCAATGCTCGTCATCGCAAGTCCATTCTAGACTATGTTGAAGAACCATCTAAAAACAGCAATTGTGGTGGAGGGGCTGATACCAGAAGCAGCGATTTTTGGTCAAAGGACAACTAGAATATTCGACATATACATAGACTAAATGTTGTTGTTTGAGTGGAATTCTAGTTGAGATATCGTTTCGTTTAAATAAATATTATCAATAAAAATTAGAGTACCAGCAAAAGAAATGTAAATTAGTGTATGAAAACACTTTTACGAAAGTAATGTACAATATTTTTCCTACGACCACAAAATTACTTTATTGAAAAAATGTAAAACCGGTAGGCAAATCTGGCTATGAAGGTTCTATGAAGGTTATATGTTGGTTATATGTTTATTTGCGTTATTGGTTCTGAATAATTTTGAAAGTTTTACGGTCGGTGATTTGTTGAAATCAAAAACATTGCATTGTTTTTCGTTATTAGTTTATTTAAAAAAATAATAAGAAGAACAACTATGAACAATAACTTTTTTTTATTATTAAAGATGGTGTCTACCTACCTTCTTATATTTTTTATCTGAACTGCAAAATAAATAGCATAAACATTAATGAAGTGCCTAATTATTGGAGTTATAGTATGATAAATAAAATATGTTTCAAATAAATAGTAGTGGGTATTTTTTTCAATTTCATATTTTATCTAAATAAACTAGAAGAAAATTAAGCTCGATCGCAAAATCCAAAGTTGAACAATTGACTATCTAAACCACGAAGGCTTAATGTCAAATTAATTATCTAATAAAATGTGTGCTACTTATTTCAGATATTTTTCTGACTTTTCGGATTTCGATTTACGATTTCACGATAAATACATTCACACCTTTTTATTAAAATTAATTTGGAGATCTGTGTTTGGGCCATTGAGCCTTTGGTAATTCGTCAAATTCGAACCTGAAAAAGGAGGTTTATTTTCACTACCTACACCACCGGTTCGTCTTTTATATTTTAATCATTGTTATAAAATATATTAGGTGTATAAAAATAAGTAGGTGAACAATTTAATCATCAAATCCATTTTACTTTTAATATAGAAAAAATGCAGTTTAAATAATTTACAGCTGATGAGGAAAGTAAATTCTTAACCACACGCGTGTGTGCGTAGGAAAAAGTATTCGAACCCCCAAAGTGAAAACAAATTTATTGAAAAAATTCTGTCCCCGGGCAGAATTTGGACCCTTACCAACTCGGCCATAATTAATGAATTATATAATGTAGGATCGATTTTGTGTTTTTATCTTATTATTAAGTTTAGAAATATTGCACACAACCTCTTGTAGGTACATCGATTTTTTCTCATCTATAAAAACATGATGGCAATCTCTGAAACAAAATTTACAAAGAACCGGATGCATTTTCATAGCGCGTCCTAACCAATAAATGATACATCAGGCGATTGCTTCTGATATAGTGCTTTTCGATATGAGTTATGAGCCTCTGGTGGCTCTCACGACGACTTGCCAAAGATCCACCATCAAATATTCAGAGACATGTATATGTATG